CTGTCCTACACTTGCTCCCTGACCGCCGTCCCTGTGTGTGTGTGTGTGTGTGTGTGTACTTACCTAATTGCACTTACCTAACTGTGCTTGCGGAGGTTGAGCTCTGGCTCTTTGGTCCCGCCTCTCAACCGTCAATCAACTAATGAAAGGTTCCTGAGCCTACTGGGCTCTATAATATCTACACTTGAAGCTGTGTATGGAGTCAGCCTCCACCACGTCACTTCCTAATGCATTCCATTTGTCTACTACTCTGACACTGAAAAAATTCTTTCTAACGTCTCTATGGCTCATTTGGGCATTCAGTTTCCACCTGTGTCCCCTAGTGCGTGTGCCCCTTGTGTTAAATAGCCTGTCTTTTTCTACCCTGTCGATTCCCTTGAGAATCTTCAATGTGGTGATCATGTCCCCCTAACTCTTCTGTCTTCCAACGAAGTGAGGATTAATTCCCGTAGTCTCTCCTCGTAGCTCATACCTCTCAGCTCAGGTACTAGTCTGGTGGCAAACCTTTGAACCTTTTCCAGTTTAGTCTTATGCTTGACTAGATATGGACTCCATGATGGAGCGGCCTACTCCAGGATTGGTCTGACATATGTGGTATATAATGTTCTGAAAGATTCTTTACACAAGTTTCTAAAGGCCGTTCTTATGTTAGCCAACCTGGCATATGCCGCTGGTGTTATCCTCTTGATATGAGCTTCAGGGGACAGGTCTGGCGTGATATCAACCCGCAGGTCTTTCTCTCTCTCTGATTCTTGAATTATTTCATCTCCCAAATGATACCTTGTATCTGGTCTCCTGTTTCCTACCCCTATCTTCATTACATTACATTTGGTTGGGTTAAACTCTAACAACCATTTGTTCGACCATTCCTGCAGCTTGTCCAGGTGCAAGTGTGTGTGTGTGTGTGTGTGTGTGTGTGTGTGTGTGTGTGTGTGTGTGTGTGTGTGTGTGTGTGTGTGTGTGTAGGTATGTATATATTTCACGCTCAACCTAGACTGGGAACTGTTATAGAATGTTCACAAAGCTGCTACTAGTAGCCAATAGCAGCTACTAATAGCCACTCGGTGCCAATAGCAGCTACTAATAGCCACTCGGTGCCAATAGCAGCTACTAATAGCAACCAGTAGCCAATAGCAGCTAATAATAGCAACTCGTAGCCAATAGCAGCTACTAATAGCAACCAGTAGCTAATAGCAGCTACTAATAGCCACTCGTAGCCAATAGCAGCTACTAATAGCCACTCGTAGCCAATAGCAGCTACTAATAGCAACCAGTAGCTAATAGCAGCTACTAATAGCAACCAGTAGCCAATAGCAACTACTAATAGCAACCAGTAGCTAATAGCAGCTACTAATAGCTACTCGTAGCCAATAGCAGCTACTAATAGCCACTCGTAGCCAATAGCAGCTACTAATAGCAACCAGTAGCTAATAGCAGCTACTAATAGCCACTCGTAGCGCCAATAGCAGCTACTAATAGCCACTCGTAGCCAATAGCAGCTATTAATAGCCACTATCAACAACTAGCAGCAACTAGTTGCCAGAGGTTGCCAACTAGGATGCAGGTATAGCTCTCTCTCCCTCGGTCTAGTTAAAATTATCTCCAGGTTTTTGTGGTTCAGCTGAGCCACATTTGGCCATGACTGTACGGAGCCTTCACCACCTGCCTCGCCCTTCATGACAGCTGCCAGTATGTTCCCTTATACGTCCTTATGTTCTCTTATACTGCCTTATACTCCCTTATACGTCCTTATGTTCTCTTATACTCCCTTATACGTCCTTATACGTCCTTATGTTCTCTTATACTCCCTTATACGTCCTTATGTTCTCTTATACTGCCTTATACTCCCTTATACGTCCTTATGTTCTATTATACTGCCTTATGTTCTCTTATACTGCCTTATGTTCCCTTATACGTCCTTATGTTCTCTTATACTGCCTTATACTCCCTTATACGTCCTTATGTTCTCTTATACTGCCTTATACTCCCTTATACGTCCTTATGTTCTCTTATACTGCCTTATACGTCCTTATGTTCTCTTATACTGCCTTATACTCCCTTATACGTCCTTATGTTCTCTTATACTGCCTTATACTCCCTTATACGTCCTTATGTTCTCTTATACTGCCTTATACTCCCTTATACGTCCTTATGTTCTCTTATACTGCCTTATACTCCCTTATACGTCCTTATGTTCTCTTATACTGCCTTATACTCCCTTATACGTCCTTATGTTCTCTTATACTGCCTTATACTCCCTTATACGTCCTTATGTTCTCTTATACTGCCTTATACTCCCTTATACGTCCTTATGTTCTCTTATACTGCCTTATACGTCCTTATGTTCTCTTATACTGCCTTATACTCCCTTATACGTCCTTATGTTCTCTTATACTGCCTTATACTCCCTTATACGTCCTTATGTTCTCTTATACTGCCTTATACGTCCTTATGTTCTCTTATACTGCCTTATACGTCCTTATGTTCTCTTAAACTGCCTTATACTCCCTTATACGTCCTTATGTTCTCTTATACTGCCTTATACTCCCTTATACGTCCTTATGTTCTCTTATTCTGCCTTATACTCCCTTATACGTCCTTATGTTCTCTTATACTGCCTTATACTCCCTTATACGTCCTTATGTTCTCTTATACTGCCTTATACTCCCTTATACGTCCTTATGTTCTTTTATACTGCCTTATACTCCCTTATACGTCCTTATGTTCTCTTATACTGCCTTATACTCCCTTATACGTCCTTATGTTCTCTTATACTGCCTTATACTCCCTTATACGTCCTTATGTTCTCTTATACTGCCTTATGTTCCCTTATACGTTCTTATGCTCCCTTATATTACCTTATACTCCCTTATACGTTCTTATGCTCCCTTATATTACCTTATACTCCCTTATATGTTCTTATGCTCCCTTATATTACCTTATGTTCATTTACCTTATGTTCATTCATTCATCCTTATGTACCTTATGTTCAGTATACTACCTTATACTTCCTTATACGTTCTTATGCTCTCTTATATTACCTTATACTCCCTTATACGTTCTTATGCTCTCTTATATTACCTTATGTTCAGTATACTGCCTTATGCTCCCTTATACGTTCTTATGATCCCTTATACTACCTTATGCTCCCTTATACTACCTTATGCCCACTTATACTACCTTATGCTCCCTTATACTACCTTATGCACCCTTATACCACCTTATGCTCCCCTTATACTACCTTTTCCCCTCTTGTCTACCTTATTCTGCATTATAGTACCTTATTCCCTCTTATATCACCTTATGCTCGCTTATACTCTTTTATACTACCCACTTCTTCTTTATGATTGAGAAAGAATTATGCTCAATGTTCATCTTCCTCAAGAAATAATGCTCCCCTATAGGTCTTTATACTATCTTATGCTATCCTATACTATCTTATGCTCACCTATATTATCTTATTCTCTCCTATACTATCTTATACTCTCCTATATTGTCTTAAGCTCTCCTATACTATCTTATGCTCTCCAATATTATCTTATGCTCACCTTACTATCTTATACTTTCCTATACTATCTTATGCTCTCCAATATTATCTTATGCTCACCTTTACTATCTTATACTTTCCTATACTATCTTATGCTCTTCAATACTCTTTTATGCTCACCTTTACTATCTTATACTTTCCTATACTATCTTATGCTCTCCAATATTATCTTATGCTTACCTTTACTATCTTATACTTTCCTATACTATCTTATGCTCTTCAGTACTCTTTTATGCTCCCTACAAAATCTATCTTGATCAGTTTTCACAAGACATAAACTCTGAGGGAGAAGGTGTTCGCGTGAGGAGATAACCTCACCCGTACTGACACCTTCCAACCTACAGTCTCGCATAACTCTCTAACTTGTGTGTTCAAAATTCTCTTGATTGATTAAATCTCGTCTTCTAGTCTGGGATGCATTTCCTGGTCTAAATTAAATGATTTCTTGTGAGCTGGTCGGCATACGGTGAACTTACCAAGTCTAGGTTGGTGGTCAGTGTTAAGGAGGAAATATCAGTAGACTCTAGATAATGTAGACCATCTGAATATTGTGATGTCAGTGACGTGTATATATATATATATATATATATATATATATATATATATATATATATATATATATATATATATATATATATATATATATATATATATGTGTCATATATATATATATATATATATATATATATATATATATATATATATATATATATATATATATATATATATATATATATATATATATATATATATATATATGTCATACCTAGTAGCCAGAACGCACTTCTCAGCCTACTATGCAAGGCCCGATTTGCCTAATAAGCCAAGTTTTCCTGAATTAATATATTTTCTCTAATTTTTTTCTTATGAAATGATAAAGCTAACCATTTCATTATGTATTAGGTCAGTTTTTTTTTATTGGAGTTAAAATTAACGTAGATATATGACCGAACCTAACCAACCCTACCTAACCTAACCCAACCTATATATATATATATATATATATATATATATATATATATATATATATATATATATATATATATATATATATATATATACCTCATATATTGGTAGATTGGGTTAGCTTTATAGGTTAGGTTAGGTTAGGTATAGGAAAAAAAGTTAGGTTAGGTTAGGTTAGGTTGGTTAGGTAGTCGAAAAAACATTAATTCATGAAAACTTGGCTTATTAGGCAAATCAAGCCTCGCATAGTAGGCTGAGAAGTGCGTTCTGGCTAATAGGTACGACATATATATATATATATATATATATATATATATATATATATATATATATATATATATATATATATATATATATATATATATATATATATATATGGTAGATTGGGTTAGGTTAGACTGAATTAAGTATTATATAAAGTAAGGATGACGTAGGGGGTTCATAGTTTTTCAGTTCTTCGAGCTTACTCAAAATAGTGATAGTGTACCTGGTCGAAGATCTTGGAGGGGCGTTCGAAGACGGCTTCTCTGCTCCGGTCCCCGAAGACGTCCCGGTCGTTCCAGAAGTCTCTGAAGAACGGGTCCCTATACATCATAGGAATCTGCCGAGACATGTCTGAAACACAGGTTTGGGAATATTCAGCACATTAGGTGCATTAGGCACACTGGGGTGCATTCAGCACACTGGGTGCATTCAGCACACTGGGTGCATTCAGCACACTGGGTGCATTCAGCACACTGGGTGCATTCAGCACACTGGGTGCATTCAGCACACTGGGTGCATTCAGCACACAGGGTACATTCAGCACACTGGGTGCATTCAGCACACAGGGTACATTCAGCACACTGGGTGTGTTCAGCACACAGGGTACATTCAGCACACTGGGTGCGTTCAGCACACAGGGTACATTCAGCACACTGGGTACATTCAGCACACTGGGTGCGTTCAGCACACTGGGTGCATTCAGCACACAGGGTACATTCAGCACACAGGGTACATTCAGCACACTGGGTGCGTTCAGCACACAGGGTACATTCAGCACACAGGGTACATTCAGCACACTGGGTGCGTTCAGCACACTGGGTGCATTCAGCACACAGGGTACATTCAGCACACAGGGTACATTCAACACACTGGGTGCAATCAGCCCACTGAGCGCATTAAGCACATTGGGTCCATTCAGCACACTGGGCACGTTCTTCACACTGGGTACATTCAGCACACTGGCTGTTTTATGCACAATGGGGGCATTCAGCATACTTGGTGCATTAAGGAATTGGGTCCATTCAGCACTCAGGGTATACTCAGCACACAGGGTTCATTCAGCACACTGGGTGCATTCAGCACACTGGGTTCATTCAGCACACTGAAGGCATTCAGCACACTGGGTGCATTCAGCACACTGGGTTCCTTCAGCACACTGAAGGCATTCAGCACACTGGGTGCATTAAACGAACTGGGTGAATTCATCACACTATGTGCATTCAGCACTCCAGTTCCATGCAGCACACTTGGTACATTCATCACACATGGCGCATTTAGCAGACTGGATGCATTTATCACAATGGAAGCATTCAGCACACTAGTTACATTCCTCACATTTCCTCACATCACACCCTTCCTAACAAAGGGTGCATTCAGCACATTGGGCGCATTCAGCACATTGCGTGTATTTATCTCACTGGGTGCATTTAGCACACTAAGTGCACTCATCACACTAGTTTCATTCAGCAAAATAGGTCTTTTCAGCACACTGGGTGTATTCATCACACTGGGTACATTCAGCATACTGGGTGTATTCTTCACACTGGGTATATTCAGCACACTGGGTGCATTCAGCACACTAGGTGAATTCAGCACAATGGGTGCATTAAGCACATTGCATGTATTTATCACACTGGGTGCATTTGGCACACTGGCTACATTCAGCACACTGGCTACATTCAGCACACTGGATTCATTCATCACACATTGCATTCATCACACTAGGGGCATTCGTCACACTAGGGGCATTCGTCACACAAGGGGCATTCAACAAACTCTGTGCATTCATCACACGGTATATTTATCATGCAAGGTGTATATATCACACAGGGTGCATGCATCACACTCGGTGCATTCAGCAAACTCGGTACATTCATCACGCTGGGTGTATTCGTCACACTAGGTGCAGTCATCACAAAGGTTGCCTTCAGCAAACTGGGTGCATTCATCACACTTGGTGCATTAAGCACACTGGACACATTCAGCACACTGGGTACATTCAGCACATTGGGCACATTCAGCACACTGGGTACATTCAACACACTGGACACATTCTTCACTGGGCACATTCATCACACTGGGCACATTCATCACACTGGGTGCATTCTTCACACTGGGTGCATTCTTCACACTGGGTGCATTCAGCACACTGGGTGCATTCTTCACACTGGGTGCATTCAGCACACTGGGTATATTTCATGCAATGATTTACATATATTATCATGTTAATGTTACAAGAACAGATTTTCTTGAATGTCTCAAAAATAATTTTAAGTGTAAATACTGACTTGTATGGAGTGAATTGAAGCGTGTGTGTAAAGCACTCTGGGCCCAAGGGTACTGAGTGCTGCCTGGCCCACACACCGCCTAAATAATCCGGCCGCGGGTGGGGGTAGGGGTGGTGATAGCACTCCCTGCCCACTTGCCACCTAAATAGTCCGCCTGCGGGTGGGGGTAGGGGTGGTGATAGCACTCCCTGCCCACTTGCCATCTAAATAGTCCGCCTGCGGGTGGGGGTAGGGGTGGTGCTTTCACTCCCTGCCCACTTGCCACCTAAATAGTCCGCCTGCGGGTGGGGGTAGGGGTGGTGATAGCACTCCCTGCCCACTTGCCACCTAAATAGTCCGCCTGCAGGTGGGGGTAGGGGTGGTGATAGCACTGCTTACCTATCATTGACTACAGGTCTATCTCCTTATGCCCCGCGTACGAGTCATGGTGTACCTGCTGAGTTATAGCTTAACTATTCTGGTATCACACTTGTCTGACGACTCTGTCGTTGAAGATATCAGAGGATGTGGCTTAAACACCTTCCTTCAGTGAATAGCACTCGTTGACTACCTGTACAGAGTACGAGTACTAGTTGACTACCTGTACAGAGTACGAGTACTAGTTGACTACCTGTACACAGTACGAGTACTAGTTGACTACCTGTACACAGTACGAGTACTAGTTGACTACCTGTACACAGTACGAGTACTAGTTGACTACCTGTACACAGTACGAGTACTAGTTGACTACCTGTACACAGTACGAGTACTAGTTGCCTACCTGTACACAGTACGAGTACTAGTTAACTACCTGTACACAGTACGAGTACTAGTTGCCTACCTGTACACAGTACGAGTACTAGTTAACTACCTGTACACAGTACGAGTACTAGTTGACTACCTGTACACAATACGAGTACTAGTTGACTACCTGTACACAATACGAGTACTGTGTACAGGTAGTCTCTCTCTTAATCTGTACTGTGTACAGGTTAACAGAGAGAGAGAGAGAGAGAGAGAGAGAGAGAGAGAGAGAGAGAGAGAGAGAGAGAGAGAGAGAGAGAGAGAGAGAGAGAGAGAGAGAGAGAGAGAGAGAGAGAGAGAGAGAGAGAGAGAGAGAGAGAGAGAGAGAGAGAGAGAGAGAGAGAGAGAGAGAGAGAGAGAGAGAGAGAGAGAGAGAGAGAGAGAGAGAGAGAGAGAGAGAGAGAGAGAGAGAGAGAGAGAGAGAGAGAGAGAGAGAGAGAGAGAGAGAGAGAGAGAGAGAGAGAGAGAGAGAGAGAGAGAGAGAGAGAGAGAGAGAGAGAGAGAGAGAGAGAGAGAGAGAGAGAGAGAGAGAGAGAGAGAGAGAGAGAGACAGAGAGAGACAGAGAGACAGACAGACAGACAGACAGACAGAGAGAGACAGACAGACAGACAGACAGACAGACAGACAGACAGACAGACAGACAGACAGACAGACAGACAGACAGACAGACAGACAGACAGACAGACAGACAGACAGACAGACAGACAGACAGACAGGAAGACACAGACAGTTTCATATATATATTCCAATTTTATTAGCTATTTGCTTTCAGTGACAGAGGTTTTTGTTATAATAGTAATGGTGTCTAACACTCGCAATATCTTTAGAAATTAAAGTGTGGCTCCAATGGAGCCGAGTTTTGTTGGTTTGCGGCCAAGCAATCACCGGCAGTCAGCCGTTTACTTGGAGGAGGTGTACTTGGTGACAGCCTTAGTGCCCTCAGAGACGGCGTGCTTGGCGAGTTCTCCGGGCAACAGGAGCCTTACAGCTGTCTGGATCTCCCGACTGGTAATGGTGGAATGCTTGTTGTAGTGGGCCAGGCGAGAAGCCTCGGCGGGGATGCGCTAAAAGATATCGTTCACGAACGAGTTCATGATCGACATGGCTTTGAAAGAGATACTGGTGTCAGGGTGGACCTGCTTCAGCACTTTGTAAATAGATGCTGTAGCTCTCCTTCCTCCTGCGCTTCTTTTTCTTATCGCCCTTGGCATTGGCCTTCTGGGCCTTCCCGGCCTTCTTGGCAGCCTTTCCAGATGCCTTGGGTGGCATGACGATGATGATGCTCGTGTCGACGTTGGAATACAATAATAATTTTTACGCAATATACAATACAATAATATACAGGAGAAGATGCCCATAGGGCGAGCCTTCAAGTGGGGACAGCTGAAGAGAAGTCGGTGAGAGGAAACGCTGAAGTTGTAGAGAAAAGTGCCAGGGCTTGACCCAGCTGCGTGTCTTAAGTCGATGCTGAAACAACCCCACAACTGGCTAGGCTTTGACTCGGGACAGGAAGGGCGGCAGTGAGTAGTTCTTCTTCATTCAAGATGATGACAGTCTGTCTTCTGATGGTGTCTTCTTTCTACTTTCTTCTTTCTTCTTCTTACCTCCAAGTCATGCTTTTATTTTGTCATGCTTCGTGTAGTCATTTGAAGTTTCACGTACTCAGCGTAGTCATTGGGTAAGAGTTCGGGAGCCAGTGTGGATTCATCGCATCCATTGAAGATTATGACATTGTCGACAGTTCACTTCACATTAACTCCTGGATGGTTCTGCACGTATTCGTTATACCTCGTGTTATATATACGGCTGGAGAGCTGTCTGAATTCAGAAGACCCAAATGTAGTGTTGTCACGTTGTTGACACAATGCAGCTACTGCTGAAGAATCAATATCCTCCTCCGAGTCCAGGGGTGGTGAGTGAGCTTCAGTGTCAACACAGGCAGTAGAGTCGTCATCAGAAGACAGGTGGAGGTCTGCAGAAGCATTAGGTGTAGGTTCCTGTGAAGCGGGTGTAGTCGCAGGTAGAGCTGGAGTAGTAGATGGTTGGTCTGGAGTAGCAGTGTGCATGTTGGCATCGCATGTTGCAGGATCTGTAGCAGGAGCTGTAGCAGGTTGCAGAGGGTGGGCGTCAGCAGACATGATATCTGCCAGTGCAACTGGAAAGATGGTCATGTCAGGGGCAGAAGTATATGTAGCTGAAGTCGTAGCACTGGCGGATGCTGAGGCTGTAGTTGTGAAGAGTTCTTCAGGAACATTAAATGTTGGTAGACCATTGGCAGTGTATAGGATGTTTAGAATTTCTGCGAATTCTTTGCAGTTCGTTCCAGCCATCATCTCAACCAGGCGGATGAGTCCGAAGATGGTACTGTGATTCCTGTTGGGGAGCAGCATCTGGTGTGATGAGGGCTGGCATGTTGGTTGCCCAAAGAGAGGTTGTGGCTGTCGCAGCTGCGTCGATGATTGGCTGGCGGACTGGGAGCCAGGGCCCCAATGGCGTGCAGGCTGTGCAGAAGCTCCGCCCCCACCCTGAAGCTCAGGGAAGTTGGCGACTTGCACGTTGAACGTTGATGGTTCACGACGAGTGGTGTTGGCTTTCCTGGCGTCGGACATCTGTATTTCCGTATGACTTCGAGGGCACTCGGCAGAGACGGCAGTATGGTCACCTTGGCAGAGAAGGCATTGGAGGAAGTCGTTGGTGCATCGTTTGAAGTGGTGATTTTCGGCGCACTTGCTGTACCGTTGGTCCTGTGATGGACATTGTTTCGTAAAGTGCTCATAGCTATAGCACTTAAAGTATTGTTGAAGCTGGTAGTAGTATTCTTTCCTGATTTGTCGGGGTGTGCAAGCGATGCCGAAGCACCGGAAGCCATTGGTAGTATCACAGGTAGTTTCCTTAGGCGAGGTGAAGGAGACCTTCATGGTGGAGTGGTGGCCGTCCGGCACAGTAATGAACTTTACAGAGACAGCAGACAAGGAAAGATTCTGTTCGTTTATGCTGGTGACAACGAGGGTGGCAGCTTTTTCAGACAGGAGGGAGCTCACTCTCCGGACAAACACCGTCCTGGCTGCGAGGTAGTGTCGTGGTGGGGTGAGGATCATGTCCGCCTCCTCGAGAACAGTAAGGTTGGAGGGGTCAAATAGACCCTGTACAGCTGTGGCACTGCTGTACACCAGTTGATGTCCTTCATCGTTGATGAAGACGTCCAGTGGTGCAACATTGGTTTTGTTACTGATCAAATCCGAGATCTCTGACCGGGTAAGGGTCCGGTCCCCTCTAAATCTTACCTTGATCCGGTAGATCATGGTGGCTCTCCTCGTTGCTGCTCAATGTTTACCCACCCGGCAGTGCTGGGTGCAATTAAGAGAGCCTTGTCTAGAGGGTTGCACTTTCCTTAAGAGGTCTCCCGTCTCTTACCGGTATAATGCACCGGATCAGGGTGATCTCTGACCTCCTAAAGCAAAGTTCTCTGAATGATTTTTACGATTCTGAATCCGAATATATACTGGATAAGACACCCCGAAGGGCGAGCTTGGAAGTGAGGACAGAAGACGATAAGGGGGGTGAGAGGAAGTAGATTTGTAGGAGAAAAAGAGCCATGGCTAAACCCAGCTGCGTGTCGTTTGGTTGCGGCATTCGAGGCAAGTACTCAGTCGGGGGTCTCAGTGGCAACAACAGGGACATCACAAAACTCACAACATCACAGTGATTGGTTCAAAAGCATCAGGGCTGAACTTTTACGGATGATTTGTGCTGGGTGTTGAGAGCTGTATATTTATGGATGGTGGATGCTGGGTGTTGAGATCTAAAGTTTATCGAAATACAGAGTTAGGAGGAGGATCATGGATGGTAGAGAAGAGATCGTGGGTGTTTTGTGGTAGTCTAAAAGTGTGTAAGAGAAAGTCAAGGTGTTATTCGTGATAAGTGAGTAGTCTATCAAGTTGTTTATCTAATACAGTTTTCCAGTAGACATTGAGGGCAGGAATGTTGGTACTTTCATGAAGACTCGCTGGTATTGAACTCGTCCCATCGGGTGTTGAGTACCCATCGAAGTGCTCTGTTCTGTATTCTCTGAAGCTTTAGTTTATTAGTAGGGGCGGATAAAGAAATAACTAGTGGAGTGTATGTTAGGAGAGGTCTAATAAGTGCTTTATAGAGGTGCATTTTTGTGTTAGGGTCTGCAAATCTAAGTCTGTATGATTTTTTTATGGCTTGGAGAGCTGTTGTATGTTTCTGTGAAAGAGTACTTATCGATCAAGTTTTTTTTTTTCTACCACGGACGTGGCCACACATTTACAATGCTAACCAGAATATATACATTTTCTTCTGTCCTCCATGGACAGGGTTAGAGATGTGTTAAACATATAGTTCAGGTGTCTATAGCTATGGTGGAAGGAAATACAGATATTAGTAGGATTAGGAGAGAGTGAATAGAGTTGAATAGGAATAGGGAGTATAGTTCTTTTTCAGAAAAAGTAGGTGATTTTTTATTTGTTGGAGTTTGTTTTTATGCGCCAGTCATACTCCCATTCTGTGACAATATCGAGTTCTGTTTGTGCTCTGCGTAATAGTGTATCAATGGTGTTGCTGGTGACAAGGTGAGAGACATCATCAGCGTAGCATATGGTTAAAGAAGTGTGATGAACAGGGGTCAGAAATGTCGTTGATGATGGAGTGTCGGGGCAAGAACAGAGCCTTGGGGAACACCGGCATGTAAGTTGAAGTAGTCAGTGATGTCGGAGGAACTTAATCCTCATTGTCCTATTGTCTAAGTAGTTAGAAAGAAGTTTGGTGGTGATAGGGGGAAGATTAAAGTTATTGCATAGTTTGAATTTTAGGCCGTCATGCCAAAGTGTCAAAGTGTCAAAGGCCTTCTCAACGTCCTTAGTGATGAGTGAAGTCTTAAGTCTTTAATGCTGATTGATGGTGAGGTAATTGGTCATGATGTTTAAGGCGTCATGTGTGGACCGGTGAGGCCGGAATCCAAACTGTTTGTTAGTCAGTCAGTCATTGTCTTCTAGGTGGGTTCTGAGTCTCATGTTGACCAGCCGTTCAAAGATTTTGCCAAGTGTCTCTAGAAGGCTGATGGGTCTATAGTTCTTTGGGTCAGTGTGAAGTTTCCCAGGTTTTGGAATAAGAACAGCTGTGGCAGATTTGAAGGTGAGAGTGAAATATCCAGAGGCAAGAGAGGCGTTGAATAAGTTAGTGAGAGCAGCGATGATAGAAGCAGGGAGTTGTCTAAGGAGGGTATGTCCAACGCCAGGCGCACCAGGGGCTCTGCGACGAGTGCCCATGAGAGCTGTCTTGACATCAGCTGGAATCAGGGGAGTCTGTAATTCAGTGCGTGAGTTGAGGTTGTCAGGGTGGATGAGGTCAGGTGTGGTTTCATGTCTGTTTTGGTGTATCCAGTCTTTAACTACTTTAATGTTGGGAAGGGCAGTTGGTTCAGGAGGATGTGGCTGAAAAATTTGTTCTCTGTGGTTTTTAAAAATATTGAGTACTTCATCAGGATCAGTGATTTTGTTGTTGTTCTGTAGAAGGTATTTAAACGGTGTGTGAGTTGATCCTTGTAAGAGTTTGATTTGTTTCCAGAATTCCTGAGGTGTCAGTTTTCCATGTTGTTCTGCTTATTCTATGAGGTGTCTCCAGTGTTTTGTATGGTATTCATCTAGTCTGTTAAGAATGTGGGTTTTTTTAATGATGTGAGGTCCCAGAGTACTTGCCCATGACGATGCATGTTGTGAAAGAATGTAGTATGATAACAAGCTAAGAGGTGTTTTGTGCGAATGGAAGTGGTGAAAGTGAAATGTTGTTTGTGTGTTGTTTTTGGAATGGAGATGTTTGCAGCATGAATGATGGTGTCTTGTATGTTGCGTGCTTGTGTGTCAATGTCAGTGTGAAGTTTGTCATTGTACTCGTATGTGAGATCAGTGTCATCAATGTGTTATTTGAACATATCCCAATTTGCCATATGGTATGATAATTGAGGAGTGCCAGGGATGAGAATAGGATTGGTAGAGACTGAGAATTTGGGGAATATGATCAGAGCCCGTAATGGGTCCTGGTTAAATGTAGTGTTGAAGGTTTTTGTCAAGTTTGTTGGTGAATATGAAATCAGGTCTACCAGAACCTGTATGACTGAAAAAAAGTGGGGAAGTCAGGGCCAAGGAAGAATAGATGTTTTTGGGCGTATATTTGGTGAAGCTGTTGACCGTGCCGATTAATGTTACTATAGAGGAATGTAGGATGTTGTGCAATGAGGTCTGCTACAG